ATATGATAAATGGAAACAATAATTGAAAATAAAGAAATAATTAGACAAGAATATGTTTCAGATCTAAAGGTAGAAGATAATGACTTCATTAGTTTAGAATCTCAAGCACCTGAACYGGTTCAGTCTCAAGGTAAAAAAGATAATAGACAGTGTCTTCTTTTGAAGGGTATTTAACATTTTCAACAAATAACTGATGATCGATTAACGATAAGGGCTAACTTGACATTTTTTTTAATGTTTAGGTACTGTGATCATACTAACTTGACACTACCCTCAAAGTTCAGGGTAGTAAAGTGGATTTAGCCCTTGAAAGCAAAATATTAAAAGGGTTGCCAAAGGTAAAATCTTATGGGCTCGGATGATTAAGGCTAAAATTGAATATTCGGAGCTTGATTTACATAAGATTTAGCCATGACAGAAGATGTCAAATGTTGTGATCGATCCGGAAGGGGAGGGAAAGATTCATTCCCCCACTCTATTACTGTTCCAATTATAATAAAGTTTACGGGTGGATTGAACAATTATAATAAAGTTTATGGGTGGATCCACAAAATTGTATCATTTCTTCGGACCAATTTACTTCACAGAGGGGTGTAAATGTGTAAATGAGAACGGGATTCAAGGAGAGAAATGGTGGTGGGCCTTGATATTTCTTTTCCAAGCTTTGCCAGCCCATCATTAACAAAATAAACCTTTTTCAAAATGGGCAGCACTAAACTGCTAATTTGTAGAAAAATAACATTCCTTCTATCTTTATAACGCGGATACTTAGCCTTGGCTTCACAGCCGGACCACCATGGAAAAAATCTAATCCATTTATTCCCTTCTCTCTCTGCACGTGCCATTTAACTAGTTTTCTATAAATTATTTTAGAGTTTTACAAAAAAAAAAAAAAAAATTCTTTAGTGGGTTACCTAACATGGTTGGTTGCTACATTGGCAAAATTTATTTTTCAGAAACAAAACCAACCATGCCGCAAAACATAATATAATTTTTATTATCTTCCATATAAATTATTTATTTCCCTTCTTTTCGTGTGGTTAACCACCCCACTTTTAGAATCATGTATAATGTAYGACACAAAAGCTTAAACACAATATGGAAAGCCAATATTACGTACAGAATCTCTTTTATATTGGAACACCATCCAATCACATTGCATAGTTCACCCAATAAAGCAAAAAAG